ACTCTGAGCTACAACTACATTTCTGATATTTCGCCCATATTCGCATCCGAATATCTTACGTACCTTAAAGCTGACCACAATCGCATTATCAAAGCTGGCAATGCAAAGGCACTACAGCATCTTCAATTCTATGATCTGTCCTATAACAAACTCACCTGCACAGACTACATCAATCACGGTAGATTGAAACATCTCATACTTAATTGTAAGTACAATGGGCATCTACTTATGTGTTCTCGAGCAGCATTGGAAGCAAAACGTTTGCGTAATCCCTCTAGACAATGAAATTACTACACTGAAAGGTGTAGAGGGACCACCACTAAACCAATTTAAACTGCGGTCTTTGGAGACTCTGGAATTGCGTGGAAATAAGATTACTTCGTCCGAAGGTCTGGGCGAGCTGCATGATCTAAAGACGCTCTACTTTAGTGAGAACCTTTTACGTTCAGTTGAAAATATTTCGTCAATGAGGGGACTTGTAAGACTACACCTTCGGGACAACAGCATTCGGCACTTGGATGGTTTCCTTCAAGGTCCTCCCAATCTACAATACTTAAATTTAAGGTATGTTTGGAAGAGTCACTGCCTCTTTTTCGGTGCCTTTTGTTTAGCATTTTCAAAACCATCTTGCAACAATTGTCTTGCAGATTTTGTTCAAGATTACACAGCATTCCTTAAAAAAGCCACTTTGTACTAACACCCCATTGCTAATAGATGTTTATAAGTAGTGTAAAGGTTTAATATTTTCTTGGTTTTTTTTGTCCTACAATGTTGGAGTGTTTTTTTCTTTACGTAATTTTTAGGGGTAATCAGATTAAACGTTGGCCAGAGATAAAAAAACTAACCTCATTGTCCACTTTGAAAATCCTCATCCTAAGTGGTGAGTTCATGCCTTCTCCATGTTGGGACTTTAGTTGTTTCTCTTGGCATTTTACACGAAAAAATTTCAAACCGATTATTAAATAGCATTAATGCAGCAATTACTCGACGAGCGTCTCTCGTCGTTATTAAATCCTTGGGAATTTTAATTTAAAATTAGTATTTACATTGCAATTTTATAAATGCTGAAGTCGTGAATGTGTCTTTCAGTTTAAAAGTGCGTGCTCGGATGTGCAAGTGTAATC